CAGAAATTTGCTTTAAGGTAAGGTGAAGCATGACATTGTGTACCAGTCTTGAGCTATTTTAATGGCCTTGGCAGAACAGCAGAGCTAGGCAGTACAGTGGTTTATGCTAATAGAATCTCCAAGATATGAGAAAAAATTATGGCTGATTTAATCAATCATTATCCAACACATATTCATATAGAATTTGTGGTGAGGAAGGTCCCTTTGAATTTAAAGTGTAACTCCAGCTTTATAAAGTAGCTAATCAGAAACTAAACTCATATTGTAGGGAATGCCAAAAGCCCTAATCCATGAGATTTATCAAGGGAGATGAAAGTGCAGCTTTGGCTTTGGTTTTAGTACCCTGGTCTCCCATGTTTCCAACACTAATAACTAACGAACAAAACTTACAGCTGGGCAACCTATCTGGAATCGCCTGGATAAGGCAAAAGAAAAGAAAATAAAGCTAGAGAGACAAAATCTCCATTAAGATGTAACCTACATTCCATAAATGGACACCATTTGCATTAAAAGGGGAAAAGAGAAAGTCGGTAAGGAACGTGTGGAGGAGTTAAAATTGTAACTGTTTCTCTTTCTGCCCCTTTATCCCCTTTCAGATGTGCTGTCATGGAGTGCAAGAGAACAGATGGTATTATTTTATAACATCTCAAAATAGCAAGACAAATAAATCCATACTTTACTGTATAACATATTGCTTTCATGCCTTCAAATATCTATTTTCTAATAAGCATTTTTTATATGTGAGGACCCTGCCATGAGCAGGAGCAACTCTTGCCTATATTTAGTGCTGTTCGGAAGTGTCCCTGGTAAAATATCAAGAAGATGCAATAATTGTGAGTTACAAATATTTATGTATCGCTAGTCAACCATTAGGAGGATATAAATATTTGGGTTGACCATGCAGAAAGGTCCTTGCCTCCTGGGCTATTGCCGGTTGAGGAGGCTCTGATGCCTGGGAGCCCATCTCAGGTAAAGCCCATCTCCAGGCAGAATTGAGACCCCCACTTCAAATCCCATTCACAGTTTCTGTTTTTCAAAAAGCTCCTTCCTAAGTCCTTTTAACTTACCTTATTGTGTATGATGTCCCTGATGGGGAAGG